GACTTGATATTTTACAACTATGGGAACATTGGACTTATATATACATCTAAGGGAGAAAATCCCGCTAGCCTCGTGTGCCTGTCAAACCTAGTGATGACTAGCCACCTCTCATCTACCATGATGAGCCAAGGTACACTGTAGTACGTAAATATCCAAACGTATAGGCGACAGTAGGCGCGATTAGCGTACTCAGGACATTTGTAGAGAGAGTCGATCTTGTCGGGAACCTGAGACGAAACAGGTAATGATTGAGTCCTAAATTCGAGAGTCAGAATTTCCAATAGTAACACTTTTTCTGCCTATTGTCTCATCTGTAACAATATTTGCGGCCGATTGCATGGTTGATTTATGTGTTCCTGGGGAGATTCATCCTCTACCTTTCTAGCCTCCTTCTAGCCCTTCCTGAACGTCGTGCTGAAATTTCTGAAAAGTCTTGACAGAGCGTGATTGCTGTATAGTAGCTTAGCCCAACTTCTTTTGTGCCGTCCAGGGCGCTGGGGAGTACCGTTGACTCATCGACAAAAGAAGCCCTCCTGGCTAATCAGCCGAAATCTTAATCTTGGCGCCCTCGAAAAATCCGAAGTTGAAAGTCCCTCGAAAATGTCAGTCTCAGTATGGTCTTCAGAGACCTCTTTCCCCTCTCGCTCCACATCTCAGCCGCCTGTTCATCCTCAAGTTGTTTGTCCCATTAGAGCAACAGTCTGCCATAAGCCATGACCCAGGCTTTATATTTTTCGACTTGTTATCCTCCTTGCGGATATTAATAGCGTCGTAAATATGTAGTAAGCGATGGTGGGTAATCAATGAGGCAAGCTCCTGTCTGCAATTGGGGTGACGCCTTTATTGGTCGTTGAAGCGAGATGATATGTGGTTGGAAAGAAGTTAGGGACTCAGAGGAAAATGGTGAGTGATGCATGATTGAGAAGTCGTCAAATGGAGATATGGATGTTTTTGCTTTCGACTTCGATTCGGATGCGATTCTTCTTGGCTATCCTAGATATGCAGAGCATACTGAGCGATTATATCGGCACTACTAGAAGGTAAAGAATTCGTCTATGCCAGCCCCAGGTCGTCTTTTATCTCCCAGAAATAGAGTTTTATCAGTTATTGTCCTTGTGAGAGTGAGCTTGAGGCTGTGTATCAAGTCGCCCGTCAGTCGCTTGGAAATAAAGCGGCAAGTCTCGCGTCAGGAAATGGTGACATCATATAACTAATAAGACCTAGGCGTCTCCCTGATGCATCTTGTTAAGTTTTGTCAGCCTTGCCAACCTTGTTGAATAAGTTGGCTGTTCAAGACATTCACTTCTCTTGACAAGACACAGACTGTGTATGTCGGCATAGGGTTCGCTATGAAGATTCTATCCCAACTTGAAGAAGAGAAGCACTATGATGCTACTGTCACAGGGGGCTTGATCGGTGGTTCTCTTGGACTCACTGCTGTAAGTATCCGTGCTATTTTATTATTTCAAAGCTTGATGGCATTAGGGCCTTGTCGCCATTTATGTAGGTCAACGTCGCTTTCCAATCATACGGGACCTCACCATACCCATGAAATCTTTTTTGGTGACCTCGACTGGGACTTTCAGCGCTATCATTAGCGCAGACCGAGCATCCCGAGACTTTGAAAAACATCGCGACCCTTCACGACAGTATCGGGACCAGGCGTCGATACAGACTGAACGACTAGATTCACAAAAACCGATTGTACAGCGTCTCAAAGACTGGGGTAACACAAACCGATATTCGCTCGTCACTGCATCATGGGTAGCTTCCATGGGCACTGCTTTCGCCATTGTAAGCCGCAATAAATACATCACTGGTGCCCAAAAGTTGGTTCAAGCTAGAATCTATGCGCAAGGTCTTACCCTGGCAGTCCTAATTGCTACCGCGGCCTTAGAAGTTGGTGATGCGCGCTCAGGAAAAGGGAGATGGGAGACAGTCACCGTTCTAGAAACTGACGACTCAAATAATACCCACCTGGTCGAGAAACGCATTCATCATGAGTCATACCCCGGTCAAGATCTATGGAAAGGTGATCTACAGTTCCTTCACCAAAAATTTGAGGTGCTTTATCAAAGTATGCTGCTAACACTTAGAAGACATAGTGGCTGCTGAGGAGCGTAAAATAGAGGCACAAAAAGCGGCTAAACTGGAAGAAAACAACCAACGTGCTTCTCGATCTTTATCTACCGACTAGAAAGAACATTAAATCAGTGCTCGACAATAAGATAGGACTGGCTCTTCATTTTAACTCTACTCGGGTTTCAAAATTAACGAACAATCAAGTAACTCACAAAGTGATTATCCTAGGTCGTTCACTTCGACTGGGAAAATCCATGGTTATAGTATTGGGTAGGCTTAAAATATATCTATTGCTAATGAATTCGTTAAACTAGTTGTTCTATCTAGCTCTCGAGTTAAAGAGTTATAGTTGTCTGTAAAGATGCGGTAGGAAACTAAAACGACGAGCAACTATATGCAACTAGTGGTCAGAATTCCGAGTTATTCTGACAAAAATTGATCAAAAAAATAAACAATTATACCTTTATGACACCTTTGCGGAGTACTAAAGTCTTTATAGTAACTCTAGAAACAAATTGTACTTGTAGCAAAACCCAGAACAGGGATTATTTATTGAACTATAGTTAGATATTTTCCAACAATTTCCGAGACTCTTGAAAAATTAAAAACTCCGGTATATATTCAGTGATATCCGTTTATAAAACGCCTTGAGCTATAAACTCCAATTGAAATAGCCTCATCCTTTGATGGATTGGTCTATTTGACTTATCAATGCCAATCATATACACATTCTTCGACTGTTTTTGTAATGTAGGTCAGCAAGCGGGATTTATTCTTGCTTTCTCTGCAGACTTACTCAGCTCAGACATCGATACTGAAATGACTAATTTGTGAATAATAAGCGTGAACAGCTAGCTCTAACAATCTAACGTCGCTAAATACTTCATGGCCGTCAAACCCTCCCATAACAATGAGTCGGCTATCATGTAGTACCGTAGTATGGTAGCCTCGTGGTTGTGGTAGCTGGCCGTAAATACGTCGTTTATCCCAGACCATGGTGACGAGGTTAAGTAGTAACACTTCATTACAATACTCAACACCATCATGGCCTCCGATAACAAAGAGATAACTACCGACAATTGTGGCCGTATGAGATAGGCGTGGATAGGAGATATGGATATTTACGGGCGAAAAAGTTAGAGCTTCTACATCGAATACCCACACATCTTGGAAACATTCGCCACCATCAGAACCTCCAAAAATAATCAGCTTGCTGCCAACCATGTTAGCTGTGTGGTAGCCCCTTGCTTTTGGTTTGTTCTTCTCGTCGCCTCTGCCAGCCGATGGTGGAGAAATCAGTTTCCAGGACATTTTGTTAGTGTCCGCAACATCAAGGCGCCAAACGTCGTTCAGTGCTCGTACACCATCTCCACCGCCGAATATGTATATTCCATTCCTCCAGAAGCAGGCTGTATGTGCACGTCTCTTGCTTGGCTGTCGATCGCCACCTACCTTAGGCTTGGACCAGCGGAAGTTCATCGTGTCAAGTACGTAAACGTCGTTGTAGTAAGCGGGACCATCACCTCCACCGAAGATCACCAATTTTTTTCCTACTGCTGTACAAGTCATTGCTCTCAAAGGTACTGGTATTTCTCCGCAAACAAAGGGGCATGATAAGTAAAAAGCGTCCGCGTCCAATACGTAAAGCTCATTGAAACAACACTTCGAGTCGCAGCCGCCAAAAACATAGATATTGGATCCGATTAGAGTTGATGCATGAGCGCGTAGTCCTGTGTGTGGAGACCCAGACAGAGGGGCTGTAGACCAATACATGCCGCTCGCCGGCGCATGCTCAACGATTGGCGCTGTCCTAGGGTCTGATATTGGTGGAAAAGATGCATGCGCTCCTCGAGATGATCGCAGGAGTGCAGAGCCAAGGGGTAGATATGGAGATAATTTTCCGATAGTGGGAGTTAATGCATTTGTGTGAATGCTCTGTGTACCATTAGATTCTGATGTCGTAGATATTTGGCCTGGTGTTAAAGATTGCGACAAAATGTGAGATCCCTTTCTTTCATCGCTGCCAAACTTTGGAGAAAGTTCTGAAAGTGGTAGCTTTAAAACGGAGATAAGAGCTTCGTTTTGAGAAAATGATTGTGATCTTTGTGGTAGAACGAGTTCGATTTTTCTGTTCCATTCGTGAATTCTTGTAGAGGCAAGACTCGATGCATGATTTTGGGTAGGACTCGGGGTTACTGCGGGAAGTTCAGCAATTTCCGAAGATTTGGTATCTAGTTGAGACAACGAAACTATCTGTCGAGATTGGTCGAATGTTTGTTGCGTGACCGGTACTGGCCGTTTTATTCCTTGAGTTCTTAAGGAATCGTCCATTGATTTTTATAGCGACATGAGTGTCTCCTAGATAGCTAAAGGACTTGTTCACATGATCTAGCTGAGGATAACAATTTGTTGATGAGGAAGTTTTAGTAAGAGGGACAAGCGGGCTTGGTGTTTACAAAGTGGGTTGCGATACGTGCTTAGCTATCGACTGTTTCAGGGAATCAGCACTTCTACAAAACTGCCACAAGACGTTGCAAGTTAAGAGATGATCAGTTGTACCGTCTCAAGAAACTTTCCGCATAGCTGCCGACGTCTGGGTCTTGTTCATTCCAGACCGTCGGATAGGTCGCATAAACGTATTAGGCGCTAAGAATGCAAAAAATAAATGAGCAAATCCGGCGGGTCCGGAAGCTTCCCGCCACTGCTGGACAGGAGGCATGGAAGTACCTCGCTGATACCCGCTGGTATAAGATTGTAAAAGCTTGAAGATCAATTGTAAGTGCTGAGTGGAACATCTAGCCGAGTTTGAGGTCCTTGGATCATAAAACTAGCCTTGGTAGTGCATCCAATATTCTCCGGTACCCCTTCTCTGTTCCGCTTAGGCCTACTCTCCTTTCCTCGTTTACAAATCGACCACCATGATGGGACACTCATCCGACACACAGAGTTCAGGGCCGAACCTAAAGCGTAAAACATCGGACAAAGAACTACCAAGCATAGCCCAGCATCATCCTGAAAAGTCATCCGAATGTGTAGAACCACTTTCGAAGCGATCAAGAAACGAAAGCGAGGCGGAAGATCAAAATTCACGCCTGAGTGAGAAGGTGAATGGTGTAGCGCTAATCAAAGACGAGTAAACCTCAAACAACAATCCATATTCGCTGCTTTCCACTGAAAATAGGACTAGATACCGCATTTCCACTATAGATCAGGTGCTCAACCCTGCCTGCGGTGATGCCGACGAAAAAAGTTTGCCTCAGCGACGCGAAAACAAATCTCGCGACCACAGCCGAAAGAAGAGTAAAGGGCAAAATAAGAACCGAGACTTTGGATCCTCCGATGACCGTATCCGTCTCTGTAATAGTCGTGCCAACTCCTCTGAATTTTCTCCCAAGGAATGCTCTTATGGTGACAACTGCAAACTAAGTCATGATTTGCGAGGCTACCTTGCACTTGGCAAAAGGGAAAACTTAACAACATTTGGCGGCAAGTGCCCTGTTTATGAAGTTAATGGGGTTTGTCATGCGGGATGGAAGTGTCGCTTTATTTCAAGTCATTCCAAAGAAGTTGAAAGAGATGATGGACGTCGAGAGCTAGTCCTCATTGAAGAGAATGGCTCAGACGCCAAAACTGATAATGAATTTAGGACTGGCATATATAATAACGTCACTACAGCAGAAAAGTTGAGCCTGGCAAAGAGAAAGACTCCAACTGAAAAAGCTGACCAGTTCCTAACATGGTTAGAAAATGACCAAAAAGCCATGGATAAGATTTACCACCAAAAACATAATGAAGCAGAGGGAAGGGAAGATATCGCGGAACAACGTGCTCAATTCATTGACCCTCCGCTTCGACCCTCCGAAAAGCGAAGAATATATTTTGGTGCCGAAACACCCATTCTAGCGCCGCTCACCACACAAGGCAATCTACCATTCAGGCGGCTATGTGTAAACCTTGGCGCACAGCTGACCTATTCAGAGATGGCCATGACAACTCCTCTTATTCAGGGCTTAAAGACAGAGTGGGCACTCATGAAAGCACATGAGAGCGAAATTTCACCTCCAAAATATACACCGACATCGATTATTACTGGATACGATAATTCTACAGATCTCAAATTTGCTGCCCAAGTATCTGCCAGTAAGCCTTGGCAAGCTGTCAGAGGGGCGGAAGTTATAACAAATCTTGTTCCACACCTCCGTTTGATAGATCTAAACTGTGGTTGCCCCATAGATCTGGTCTTTCAAAATGGCGCTGGATCCGCACTCTTGGATGCAAACTCAAAGTTGGAGAAGATGATCAGAGGAATGAATCTAGTTTCAGGAGCTACACCTATTACTGCTAAGATCCGTATGGGAACTAAAAACGACAAACCTACAGCGAAGAAAACTATTGAGAGGCTAGCCTTTGGCGGTAAAGAGCTAAGAGAACGTCTCGGCGCTCCTGGCTGCGCTGCTATAACTCTGCATGGACGTAGCCGGCAGCAAAGATACACCAAGCTTGCTGACTGGAAATATATATCCGAATGTGCCACTCTGGTCAATTCCTACAATAAGAGGAAGGATGAGTTGACAGATACAATTGGAGAACCAGACGATCGTACCATGGCCAACGGTGGAAAGATGTACTTCATAGGAAACGGTGACTGCTATTCGCATGTTGATTATTTTGATCATCTAAATAATTCTGGTGTACACGCTGTCATGATAGCTCGTGGAGCCTTGATTAAGCCATGGATATTTGAAGAGATTGAAAAATACCAATACCTTGATAAATCAGCTACTGAACGCCTTCAATATGTCGAGAAATTTGCAAAGTATGGACTGGAGGCCTGGGGTTCTGATGAAGTTGGAATCGGTAGAACTCGAAAGTTTCTCCTTGAATGGTTAAGCTTTTCTCATCGATATGTCCCTATTGGTATCCTCGCCCATCTACCTCCAAGTCTCAACGATCGACCACCAGCATACAAGGGAAGAAATGATTTGGAGACGCTCTTGGCGAGTGAGGATTACTTGGATTGGATAAAAATAAGGTTCGTTGGCTTCACTTCTTCATTTTACTCAGTAACTAAGACTTCCTAGTGAAATGTTTCTTGGACCAGCTCATAAAGACTTCAAATTCCAACCCAAGCATAAGTCAAATAGCTATGAAATTGAAGCAGAGGGATAATGGAAGTACACCGATTAGTGTATCTTTGATTGGCGTTTTACTCGGCAACCTCAGAGTTATTATGTAGTGAACATAGCAGGTGGTCTTGTAATCGAAAGGTCACGATGAGATTATCGTGATTCAAAAAACTAGGGATATTAAAAAGTTATGCTAGGCTCTGTTTCTTGCTAAGAAAAGCCCTGTCAGATTACAGAATCAAATCTAACAGCTCAAACCTTGAACTTATCCTTCGCATCTTTGCATGGATGATTCAACTAAATAAAGATCCGTTGGATATGTGTAAACCTAATTTTTCGAAACCGCAGTGGTCACAACAATTAAACAAAAGCTTAAATTTATGCATGGCCACTCTTTTAGACTATAATTGACTGTTGAAAAAGTTCATCTTTCACTCAATACCTTTCCTAGGGGCTGGTTAGATTATGGAGCACTCTCTACATTCTTCTACCCGCCAGTTTAAGCTTTAGGATGCGTGGGGGTATTCGGTAGATATTTATCTTCATCTTAGACTGTAAAGCATACAAATATTTTCCCTTCTATAAATTATTAATTCTTGTGCCCCAGATGGTTAATTTCTGGCTACGTATCTTCAACTTCGATACCTCTCTCGTATCCTTATTCGATTGTGCACTTGGAGAAGCTATGAATTTTTCACTAAGTTTCCCCGCCCCATCAAGGAAATGAAAGTTACTTTGGACGAAAGTCTGCCGGGAACAACCCTCAATCTCACTGAGTACAGAGTACCGCTACCACTAACATTCGGACTCAATACGAAGACATAGTTAATTTTTGAAATTGTTTCAGAAACCATCAGGCCGGGTACAGTAGACCAGCATAAATTGAATACTGTTTCCATGGCATATTCATCCTTTTCGGATCGATATCAAGCGAAGGTCGTGATGAAATATCGTGAAAGCCCTATTAGACTACGCCGTTAAATAACCTGGCCCAACATCTATCTTATCGAAGGCACATCAATACGAGTTAATAGTTTTGGGGCTTGACCCTCATTGTCCGAGAGAGCTGAATTTGAAGTCATCTAATTCGAATTTACGAAATATAGCTAGACTCTTTCACATGGCTTTTAAAAGTCCTCATCAGTCATTGGCTCAGTTAAGACTGTATTATAAATTTAATCTATTAGGTACGTGACGCTTTCCTATCTAATATGTGGCTCAACATTGACTTGTGGCCTGGGTCAGAGAGGAGCCCAATGTGCTAGATAGCTATGGACTCAAGTAGTACAATAAACAACACACACACAAAATTGACTTCGTAGACTCGTGGGCAAAAGCGGCAGTCGAATGTAGCATCCATGCAAGTGCTCAAATTATTATAGAATCAGATGGACAACAAGTGACGTAAAATAATGTTGCGTCTTCGTGACCCTGCGTTTAAGTATCCCCCTGTCTGCTAGGAATGCATGTTTTATCTGTCCTCTCTACCCTGGTTGGACCGCAAACTAAATGATTCTACGATGCACGGATGTGATATCAAACAGCTGCGTAGGCAGAAGCTGTTTGAAGTGCGACGAGGCCCGCCGTACATTATTGCGCTGGCCTTGCGACGAGACGAAGAGGCAGTTTGCCTTCTGCTATCAGCGGCTAAATACTTCATCGTTTGAGGGATTGGGTTCGCCACGGGACTTTGGCTTCCACAATCATCAATGTCAGTCACAGCCATGAGGCGCGTTGCAATGTCTCTACTGCTTTTACTACCATCGGCCATTTCCGCATACGATCACTCTCCCATTAGGGCCAGGGTGGGCGCTAAGCAGGCCTATCCTAGGCGAGGAGGAATGTTTAGCCCTATTCCGCTAGGCCCGAAACTAGCGACAGCGTCGCATTGGATCCGCCGTCATTTGAAGCTGCGAACCCCAGCACAAACTACACCAGGCAGCTAGCGGTATCTGCCGTGTACCAAGGTGACCTCTCGCATTATTCCAAACTGAACTTGTGCGCCCCGAGCGCATGCAGGCTGCACGTTTCTCGCCTCGCCCAGTCTTCGTTTACACCTCCGACTTTGATGGTAGAGGTTATAACAGCTTGAGAACTCATGATTGGCCGACGACACACACAAAGATAGTCAAAAAATTTCACTCTGATTGTCTCTTTCGACTGTATTCGAACTTTCATATACTTAAGGCCTGAAATGAGATTTTCATTCTTGCAGTACATGAGCTTCTGGAATGTCCCACCGAAAATAATCTTAGACCTTTCTAATAGTTACTAGAATATTCTAGTTATTTTTAGATTGATCTATTTATTTATTTTCGAGATCTACCGGGCTATATTTTAGGCTGCAGCCTCGTCCATGAGAGGACACGGTGACAAATGTATTCTACAATATTACATAATCTAAGGGGAGCCAGAAGGTCTGAAACAAACTTACTAAGCTATTATGAGCGTTGTACAGCGAACCCCCCACACAAGATGTATCTTCTCCCACGCCGATATTTATACCCGACGAAGGAAGCAAAGTGTGGCACACAAATCTGGGAGATAGTTCTTTGGGATGGATGTGAGAGGGATCAGGACAAGTTGACAAGATGATGCAAAGGAAAGATAATACTTCGATGACCATGGATTTCGGAATTTTGGCAAATATTTTACGAATTGGGCTTCTGCGCGCCAAGACTTCGCCTTGCGAGAGTGCAGCTGACACCCTAAACACAAGTCAACGATGGAAGGTTTTGTGGTTCCGCCTCCTGGTGGTGTTCTCTGGTATGGTTTGAGTAGCCTGGGCACCTACTCCACTTGGGAAAGAGACACCTCAGATCACATACCAGAGAACACCACCAGGAGGCGGATCACAACACCTTCCATCGTTGACTTGTGTTTAGGGTGTCAGCTGCACTCTCGCAAGGCGAAGTCTTGGCGCGCAGAAGCCCAATTCGTAAAATTTTTGCCAAAATTCCGAAATTCATGGTCATCGAAGTATTATCTTTCCTTTGCATCATCTTGTCAACTTGTCCTGATCCCTCTCACATCCATCCCAAAGAACTATCTCCCAGATTTGTGTGCCACACTTTGCTTCTTCCGTCGGGTGTGTGTGTGTGTTTTATTGTACTTCTTGAGTCTATGACTATCTAGCACATTGGGCTCCTCTCTGACCCAGGCCACGCCTTATACAGTGCTCCTATCCTCTTTTGTTACTTGAAAGATCATTGATATATTCCCCTTGATGAATAGCCATTCAGCTTAGTGTTTACCCGTGGCATTCGGCCACCTTTTCCACGGAACCTTCTACCCAAAAATAAATAATAATAATGGTAGCAATGGAAACTGCGTGCGCGGGAAAAAGTCTCAAAAAACCTGCAGCCCCAGCCAGGCGAGGCCTAGACACCGGGACCACATGAAGTGCGCATATTCATCTATATCTCCCTTCTTTGTAACAATCGAGGCCGACTTGATCCAATCCGCCATCTCCGTAAAGGGTGCTGGGTACGCTCCGGAAACTCATCGGATGGCTTTTCCTCCATGATAAAGGGTTGGTGGTGAGTAGGGCTCCGACCCTACCATCTGATCTGATGGTGGTTAGCTTCATGATAGTGGTGATAGGGAATGTGTTGAGAGATGAAGACGATACACACCGCGAAAGCGATTGGGAATCCTCTTCGAAGTGAGGACTTTGTTACTCAATCTCGGCTCTGCAGACTCTACAGTGAGGGCTGGAGGTTCGTAGGGGACACCACTGACAGGTGTTGAGAATAGTCCCCCTTCCGTCGGGTGTAGATATCAGCGTGGGCGTGTATTTGGCGACCAGTTGAGGCCAGAGAATAGTCGACGAGAGGTGTGATCATTGGAATGAGGATGTATATATATTATTCATTTTTCCTGATTTGGCGCCTTGAGGCCCATGCAGGTTTTATCGGAAGATATGTACTTAAGTAGTTTGATTTAATTTCACATTTAGAACACTCACATTCAGATTTCATTTGCAGATACCACTCGAGGTTAACCCTTACGGCGTATAACCTCTTCCGTGCATACCCACCACAGGGCAAACCGTGAAAAACCTGTGGCAATCCGAGTGTACTCTCATCATCCCACTAGTACAACATCACCGCGAGAGAGTGTGGTGTGTGGGTCTGACTGGAATCGAACCAGCTTTCTCCTGTCTCGAATAGGGTAGATGTTCAAGCTACCCAGTATCTATTTGGGTGAACGGCCCAGATGGTATACCACTGCATCATCCGACCATGTCAGGCTTTATAGTGTCGCCTGTACTCTTCTATGCAGTATGATAGATGGGTTGTTGACATAGGACAAATAAGTAAGTTGTTCAGTTGGGAGACCACTTTGGTGCGCCACGTTCGGGTTACGTGATCGGCTTACAGGCGAACAAGCTAGGGGATAAGGGACGAGCTTCCCCCAACTATAACATAATAATCATCATATTAACTTTGCTTCTGTTTACACATGAAGATATCTCTCCACAAACTATCTTAGCTGTTCCGGCGTATAAGTACATTCCCAAATAATATAACAATCATACCACCACGCCACAGCATATCCCAAAATCTGGAACGCAGCAAATCTTTATACAGATGAAAAGATGGGAAGAACAAGAATGATCTCTAGAGGAACACCTATCAGTATCCATAAAAAGCCTTAACAGGGCCCAAAGTAGCATAGCCATGCAGTTAAGGAGTGAGCACATTGGGTTCAATTCTTATCTGCACAGAAGACATGTTCCCGGAGTAGACAGCCCACGATGCCAATGTGGATTTCCGTCCTAGAACGTCAAGCACATGATCATGGCCTGCCCCGACTGGGCAATAGGGAGAGGAGAGATACTGAGAAAGGCAGAGAGTCGGTCATTCGAAGCGATGATGTTACGGTTTGACCGTTGTTTTAGCTTAGGAGGAAACCTAAGCGTTTAATTAGGAATAATTACGATAAGACTGAAAGAGGAAGGATGGGCAAATAGAGATGAAATAGCACTACTAGCCAGGAGGTCGAAGCAACATCATAGCGTAATGGCTCCTGATAATGCTT